GCTCTCGATGTCCTGGACACCAATATTTTAAGAGTTGATAAAAGATTCATTACTGTCTGGTCATCTGAGATTTCAGTATGGATTAGGATCATGATTGATAGGAGCGACGCACCACCAAAGTGTGAAAGGGAGGAATTTTTTTTCTGTCACATTTAACCACAACTGTCACCATTCTAGACTGTTTGTTCTGCCTCAGGATATATATTACAATCAGCGTCAAGACACGTTCTGTTGAGTACCGCCCAACGGAGAAAAGTTTTGCTCAGCAAGAACAAAAAAGTTAGAGCTAACATTGTATACGATCCAAATGATGTGCAGAAATTTGATTTCTCCAACCATGTTTCAACATAGAATGCTATGATTTTGACCAAATAGGTTGGTGGTACATGTTGATAAAAAGTTGAGTGAGCATTTTAATGTTGAATGGATGTTTTATTTTCCTGCAAATAACATTCAGAAAAATCAACCAAATAGTACATGTTATTTCAACATTGAAAATTGATTGATGGCTGATGCTGACTTTTACAAGGTTGAATCAATGTCTCTTTCCTATCTGGGTACTCTGTACAGACAGCACTTTTATATTCTATTTCATGTTCTAATGATGTAATATTTTAGGTTTGTCCAGCATTTTTACTTTTTCCTGTTTGTTGTTACCAGAAGGTTGACTTGTCAAAAAAGTCAGCTACTTGAATAGTATTAATATTCTGTTTCTAGTGCATGCCATTAATGTCAACTATTATATATATATAAATTAAGGCTTGTTCTGCTAGTTCATTTGATTGTAGATTTGTTTTACCTGCGACTGGATGTTGTGGCAGTGCAATTACCCTATATGAATGCTGGTTTCACCTGTGCTTAAAATACTGAAATGATTCATGTTTTTTGTTTTCCAATGTGCAGAGGCATGCCATGCCTTTGATTTAAAAAAAAAAAAAAAAAAAAAAAATATATATATATATATAGTTGATGGATTTGTGCTACAGATAAAGACAGAGAAGTATTTAAAGGCACCATGAAATTGGCTATTTTGCAGTATAGAATATCATAGTATTTATTATAAATTCATAGTAAACTTAAAAAACAAAAAACAAAAAAACTTTTTTCCCTTCCCCTCACTCCTAAATATAGGTCTGTTCTTTCACGAGTTCGTGTGCATCTGTGCAAGGGATTGGCAATATTCCCTTCCCTCCAGCAACCTGTCACTAACATCAGATTGCAGCAGTTAACAAACAACCATCCAGTTCCCAAAATCAAACCCCACCCCATATTATTTTCTCATTTAAGAAGTCATTGCACTATAGAACTGGGGTTTTCTGGCCCACAAGGTCCACTTTCCTGCAGAGTTTAGCTACGTCCCTAAACAAATACACCTGAACAGGATACTCAAGGTCTTCAGGATCACTGCAAAGCTACAGACAGGTGAGTTTTATCAAGGTTGGAGCTATACTATGCAGGAAAGTGGACCTCAAGGGCCAGATTTGAGAACCAGTGTGCTAAGATATACATCACAATCAATTTGTTAAGTCTTGATGTAAGAAAATCCTGTCTGTGGGTCCAAGCTCTACTCATTTCAATTTCTCTCAACAGCCAAGCACTGTTTATTCATATTACATTTAAACTAAGCTTTTAAAAATTAACGGTGTACGGGCTCTCGATGTCCTGGACACCAATATTTTAAGAGTTGATAAAAGATTCATTACTGTCTGGTCATCTGAGATTTCAGTATGGATTAGGATCATGATTGATAGGAGCGACGCACCACCAAAGTGTGAAAGGGAGGAATTTTTTTTCTGTCACATTTAACCACAACTGTCACCATTCTAGACTGTTTGTTCTGCCTCAGGATATATATTACAATCAGCGTCAAGACACGTTCTGTTGAGTACCGCCCAACGGAGAAAAGTTTTGCTCAGCAAGAACAAAAAAGTTAGAGCTAACATTGTATACGATCCAAATGATGTGCAGAAATTTGATTTCTCCAACCATGTTTCAACATAGAATGCTATGATTTTGACCAAATAGGTTGGTGGTACATGTTGATAAAAAGTTGAGTGAGCATTTTAATGTTGAATGGATGTTTTATTTTCCTGCAAATAACATTCAGAAAAATCAACCAAATAGTACATGTTATTTCAACATTGAAAATTGATTGATGGCTGATGCTGACTTTTACAAGGTTGAATCAATGTCTCTTTCCTATCTGGGTACTCTGTACAGACAGCACTTTTATATTCTATTTCATGTTCTAATGATGTAATATTTTAGGTTTGTCCAGCATTTTTACTTTTTCCTGTTTGTTGTTACCAGAAGGTTGACTTGTCAAAAAAGTCAGCTACTTGAATAGTATTAATATTCTGTTTCTAGTGCATGCCATTTATGTCAACTATTATATATATATATATATATATATATATATATATATATATATATATAAACAGAGCTTAACAATGCAAATTAATACAGACTTGATTTACCAAAGTAAATAATGCAAATCCCAGAGTCATGAGTTTCTCCTCAGAGGGTCTTTTGTGAGGGGTCAGATTCACTCTATAACAATGTGAAGACAGATTCTAATTACATTATTAAAGCAGCCATTCAAAGACGCATCCTTCTGGAGCTTAATTGCACAAATTAATTCACACACTTTCAGTTGGACAAAGTGCATTGCAATGCCACATTAACTTATATTATATAACTTCATTATATAAAATAACTTGCATTTTACATTAATTTAAACAATCCTTCAATTAATTTTCACACACACACACACACACACAGAGGTTTGTTTTTATGGTTAATGGGGACTCTCCATAGGCGTTATGGTTTTTATACTGTACAAACCGTATATTCTATTGCCCTACACCAACCCTACCCCTAAACCTACCCCTCACAGGAAACTTTTTGCATTTTTAGATTTTCAAAAAAAAAACTCATTCTGAATTATTTATAAACCTTTTGAATTATGGGGACACTAAAAATGTCCTCATAAATCACTTTCTCGTTGTAATACCTATATCATACCCATGTTATTATACAAATTTGTGTCCTCATAAACCACATAAACATGCACACACACACACACACACACACAGCCTATACGAATCCGCTCACGTCACGATGAAAGAGAGGAAGCGGCCAGAAGAAACAGTGAAATGTAGCAACATCACTGACCTGTTCAGGGCTTCAAGTGGAGGTCAGTTTCAACTGTAAACGCTAGATAGTTTTGTCTTTATTAACGTAGTTGAGTATTAATCTACTAGTAGCACCCCATTATTATCATCATTCATAATGCTGTGCTAAATAGGACATCAATATCGATTGTTAAAGTTACATTAAAAAATTTAGCAGAGACATGGATTTATTGTACAGGGAGGGAGGGAGCTAGAGACAGCAACACAAAAATAATATGAGTAAAAGGCTCACAGCCTAATAATTAAATAGTGTGTTAGACTTTTTCAACAAATATATTGTACTAATTTGGACATTTAGGCACTTTAGAAATTGTGTTTTAATACACTACCAGTCAAAATTTTTTGAACAGTAAGATTTTTTGAAGTCTCTTCTGCTCACCAAGCCTTCATTTATTTGATCCAAAACACAGCAAAAACAGTAATATTGTGAAATATTTTTACTATTTAAAATAACTGCTTTCTATTTGAATATATTTAAACATTTAATTTATTCCTGTGATTTCAAAGCTGATTTTTCAGCATCATTACTCCAGTCTTCAGTGTCACATGATCCTTCAGAAATCATTATAATATTCTGATTTGCTGCTCAATAAACATTTATTATTATTATTTTGAAAACAGATTAGATTTCTTTCAAATTTCTTTGATGAACAGAAAGTTCAGAAGAACAGCATTTATCTGAAATCTTTTGATAAATGTCTTTATCATCACTTTAAAGATGACCCCCCCCCCCAAAAAAAAAACATTTATACTGACTCCAAGCTTTTGGTATAGTCCACAGGTAGTTACAAAAGCTTTTTATTTCAGATAAATGCTGATCTTTGGATCTTTCTATTCATCAAATGATCCTGATGTACTCAACTGTTTTAAATATTGATAATAATAATAATAATAACAACAAATATGTTTCTTGAACAGCAAATGAGCATATTCAAATGATTTCTGAAGGATCATGTGACACTGAAGTCTGCAGTAATGATGCTGAAAATTCAGCTTTTTGATCACAGCAATAAATTACATTTTACATATATAATCCAATCGAAAGCAGTTATTTTAAACAGTAAAAATATTTCATAATATGACTGCTCTTGCTGTACTTTGTATCAAATAAATGCAGGCTTGGTGAGCAGAAGAGACTTCTTTAAAAATTTTTTTAAATCTTACAGTTGTCTGTGGTTTCAGAAATTGTCACTGGAACAGTACCCTTAAAAGGACATCTTTGTTCCTTTTTTACCCCTAATATAGGTAGGGCTATATCACAGCAATAAATTACATTTTACATATATAATCCAATCGAAAGCAGTTATTTTAAACAGTAAAAATATTTCATAATATGACTGCTCTTGCTGTACTTTGTATCAAATAAATGCAGGCTTGGTGAGCAGAAGAGACTTCTTTAAAAATTTTTTTAAATCTTACAGTTGTCTGTGGTTTCAGAAATTGTTGCGGCTGTATAGGCTATATACAGAAAAAGGGGCCAAAATTGCACCTTTTGGGGTACAACAGCTTGTCACTGGAACAGTACCCTTAAAAGGACATCTTTGTTCCTTTTTTACCCCTAATATAGGTAGGGCTATATATTAGTACCTTAAGGGTACAAATTACTACTCTATGCTACTAATATGTACCTATTAGGGGTAAAGAAAGTTACAAAGATGTCCTTTTAAGAGTACTGCTCCAGTGACAAGCTGTTGTACCCCAAAAGGTGCAATTTTGCCCTTTTTTTCCCTGTGTGGCCTGGATGAGTGTGAAATTTCCCGGCCTGAAATTACGTCCCAGTCCGGCCCTGAGCAGACTGTCTCTGTGATAACTTCCGTTAGATTCAACCTGCTGTTCATAGATCAACCCAGCACATATGAATGTGTGCATCATTTAAAGACGGATGTAAATGTCCCATGCTGCCGCCGAGCGACGTGCTAAACAATCCATCTTTATTAAGCTAATGTTGCTCAGTTTATAACATTCCTCTTCCTTCTAATGAAGACCAATTACAATTGATGTATTTTCACATAAGCAATTCTTACTATCCCTTTATCTTTTGACAACTCTAACTGCTCTAAACCAATAAAATTGCTACTTGATTGCAAAATTGTACAATTTATTCCATATGATTGGATAACTTGCAGTTGGGTGTGTGCATCAGCTGTTTCTCTCTACGCCACCACATAACAAATACCCACAAGCCTTTGCTAATCCTCAAACCTTCCCCAGGGAGATGTTATTCTCACAGACAGAAAAATGATCATAACTCTCTCGTGGAATCAAGTGCAGGTAAAGCAATTGTTCTGTGAGGTGAGGAGACTCGTGGAGTTCAAACGGCCTCTCCTGTGGCTTTACTTCAAAGGCTTGTTCTCTATGGTTGTCCTCAAGGACCTACAGAAACCTTGCATTGATATGTGCAGCAAATGTTAGCAAAAGGTGAGTTGTTGTTCTTGGGACTGACTGAGGTTTAAAGACCATTATAAACAGATTCCAACAAAAGGAGTTTTAAAAATATTTAAAGACTCGATTTAGTCATTCGCAAGGAACACTGTGTTTTGTAAGTGCCCCGAGAACAGGAGTTACTTTAAAGCTGTGCAATAGAAAGTGACTGTTTATGACACTATCATCCAGTCTCCCAAAATACATGATGCATTTTACTGTGCTTTTATATCTGGAGAATAAAAGTAGACAGCGAATCAAAGTATGATTGTTACACTAAACAGCAAATACTGCATGCCACAGAGGAAAGTGGTGTCAATGTGTCACATTTTAGATATTCAAGGTGGTGTTGAAATAGCTAAAAATGAGAAAATCAGCTACTGCATCCATCTTTCTTTCTTTAAAAAGTCAACAGCATCCTGGTATCCCTCCTGTTCCAGTGCTTTGAGTCTGGTTAATGAGGGAGGAAACAGAGCCTGGTTCAGCCGTGTGATGTTGTCTTTGGAGAACTGAGGGTGGAAAACAGTTGAGATTTCAAAAACATGTCAGGTTATGATATATCAACAGTTTGGAAGCAGATATATATATATATATATATATATTAACTGTTTAGATATTAGAAATAAACAAAGGTGGTTTGTTATGCTAAAAACTTACCATAACGCTCATGTTGGCCAGTCTGAGATGAAGATTACTTATGCCTTTATGAGCCGGGGAAATATCCTGAGGGCCGCTAAATGGTGACACTGTGATTGTGCGTCCCACAGGAAGAATAGGAAGACTGTCTGTGAATCCCCCATCTATCCATTTCTGAGGAAATTATTATTATTTTTAATTGCACATACACTGCCATTCAAAAGTTCGGGGTTGGTAAGAGTTTTAGAATTTTTGAAAGTCTCTGATGTTCATCAAGACTGTGTTTATATGATAAAATACAGTAAAAATAGTCATATTGAGAAATATTATTACAATTTAAAATAACTGATTTCTATTTTAATATATTGTAAACTGTTATGTCTGTGATGCCAAAGCTGAATTTTAGCAACCATTACTTCAGTCTTCAGTGTCACATTATCCTTCAGAAAGGATATTGTGATATCATTTGCTGATTAAGAAACATTTCTTAATACTATCAATGTTGAAACAGCTGTGCTGCTTCATATATTTAATACATATACATTTCAAAAGAACAGCATTTATTTGAAATCAAAATCTTTTGTAACATCATTAGTTTTTACCATCACTTTATCAATTTAATGTGTTCTTGCTGAATAAAAGTATATTAAAAAAAAAAAAAGAACAAATTACAATCTTACTGATCCCAAATTTTTGAATAGTTGCTTATTTGTCAAAACTTTAGCAATTTCATTAAACATTTTAATCAAATTATTTGCACATGCTTATTAGAACATTAATAACATACTATATATCAATATCTGAGAAAAGCCCACAAAATAAAGATAATTTGAGACATTTTTGTCATTTGAGTAACTGGATAGATATTGCAAACAGTAGCTTAAGTAGTCAATATATTACAGCAAACTGTTTTACAATGAAGTTGTCAATCTGTCTGAGATAAATTTAAAATCCAGTCAAAAAGCACACTATATATTTTGTAGATATAAAGCAAAAAGGAAGGATAAGGGTGTACAGTAGGAACAGACAAGGACGTGTACTTGTGTATGTGATTCTAGAAAGGTTGCCTATGCACATATAGCTTTTCTCTTTAGAGCGCCACATTAATCCTGTTAACTCTGATACAATCTGTAAATCTGTCCACTTGGGAATAAACCATACTTTATGTTAGTATTTTTATTTTATATGTTTATAACAATTCGCTACCTTGGAATTATTAGGTTCTATCTGCATGCTGAGCAGTTTTGAGATATTGAGCTTCACAGTTTTTGCTTTCTATATACTTCTGTAGATACAACCATTTTTGTTTTCTAAAAAAGGCCCCAAATGTACACAGCTTACAAAATAAACATCACATAATGTAAATAAGTTGTCACAGAATAATAATATGTGAATAACTCAATTTTGACAAAAATATCACATAGAACCTTATAATTCCAAGGTGACGAACTGTTGTAGGTGAATGGGTTTTAAAGGGCATATTCTCTGCTAATATACAAATTGCCATGCATCCAACAGAGAGTTAAATGTGTTTAACACATCTTAAAGCAATTACAGAGCATTACAGAACATCAATTTTGTTTTACCTCTGTGAGTAAAATACAAATTCTGTCAAGTCTAATAGTTTTCATCATGTTAAAATAGAACAACTTGATGTTTTCCCACGACTACACGCTTGAACTTCACTAAATTGCTTTGGCTGGAAATACCACAGCATTTGGCTGCTAATGTAGTTTTATCAGGCCTCTGTCAGTGGAGAGGACAAGCAGAACCAAAGAGCTGGTCTGCTCATTCATCTAAATAAATCCAAACAGTCCAGAACTAAACAGCAGCTCTCAGCAGAGCCACATAAAGTACTGGAGCCAAGAGAGACGGTCGCAAGACACCATTACCTGCCCTTGGAACTCCACTGGCTTCACTCCAGCATAGACAGGCACGAAGCAGCTGGCCAAGAGCACCTTTAAAACAATACAGTCATAATACATCAGGAGAATGGACAGACAGAGGACTAGTAGGTTATAAGGGTACATGATTTATAATAGTGTCTGCGATAAAGGAAAAAAAAAATTATGTGGAAACTTTGCCTTATTTTTCTTACACCTATTTTCCGTACACAAGTGTGTTTACTGCCAAAAAGGTTATATATATCCTACTGTCCAAAAACATGAGATAGGTAAGTTTTTTTTAATGTCTCTTATGCTCACCTCATAAAACTATTATTGTAAAATATTATGATATTAATGTCAATACAAATAATATATTTTATATAATAATAACATTTAAAATATACTTTTTTCCTGTGATGTTAAAGCTGAATTTTCAGCACCATTACTCCAATCTTCAGTGTCACATGATTCTTCAGACAAAATACAAAAATACTATTTTTGTGGATATTTTTCTCTCAGAATTCTTTGATTAATACCAAGTTAATATTTAAACATTTTTCAAAATGCATGCAAATAAAGGGTTAAAGTATCTTATATTTAAAATTGTATTGACCTGACATTATTTATTGTTATATTTTTTCCTCCTTTTTTCTACATGATGGTCACACATGATTTTCTTGGACACACTTGGACCACATAATTTTGATTTGACAAACAAAAACTTTTTCAAATATGAATTAGCAGTAAAACTGTTTTGTTTATTCATTTTTCTCTAATGGATAATAATAGCAATAAAAGGCTATGCTTTAACATATCACCCAGACATTAAAAAGTGATTTTTGTACTTTTTTTTGTTGTTTTTTTAAAAGAAAATGGCAATATAAGATGTATATTCAAGTAATTGTATTCATTTTAATGTATTTTAAAAAATAATAAAAAGATAATTTACTGTTTTCAAAAAGAAAAAGAAGGCCAAAAAGACAGTTTGTATCATTATGGTAGATGGACTACTGAAGCACCAGTGCAATTTGTTCTTTATTTCAGATGGGAATGAATTCATGAACTCCGCAGCAATTTTCCACAGTAGCAACTCGGTCCAGTGACGGCACTTATGATGTGTCTAATTGAATAGGCAAGTTCCCTTTGGGTTGTGGGCATTACTCTACTAGTTGAGAGATAAATCATTGTCCATTGACCTCAGGCTTGAATACCTTAATGAGATCTTCCCTTGAGGTGAAGCTGGACACCATGCTGTTCTTGCGCGTCTTTGAGTGTGTTATTGAAACATGGAGGCGTTCATTGGCTAACTGGTGGGCATTAGGCGGGAGAATCTCTTCGATACCCTCCCTAGAGGAAAACCAAAGGACAGATGCTCATTTGTTGTGTTTGCATAATTAACGACTTCAGTGAAAACCATTTTTCCCTCAACATCATATCGTAATTACACAATCTGTTGGCCGAACCACTGAGGTAACGCAGGAAAAATACAAAAAAAGAAAATCCACTCAACGTTTCCATTCCAAGGATATTTCATCAAAATGGATGAAGTCTGCTATCCGCTCCAAGCGGTGTGTCAAGATTATCAGAAGCCCTCAGAGGTTTGTGCACATCACGGATATTATTTCCTTCAACAGAAAGAGAAAAAAAACGTCTACCGTTTCATATCATGCCAGCAGTATCTGCGGTTTCACAAGTAGCACTGAGGAGGTGACACATTATAGCATCAGACTGGCACTATCTTCAGACCATTCAAACCTCATTCTACTGGAGCCAGTTCTTTCCTGTAGATCTCCACAGCTGTGCACGGCTGAATATAAAGAAAGAAAATCGATTTCATGTATGTGTGAAACGAATGAGTTTTGGAAAGCATGCATGACGTTACTTCACGGTCAAGGTGTTTCTTCAACTCTGTCGGTGTCTCACATCAATTTACACCTCCATACAAACGTTATTCTCTTAACATTGGAAAGAGTGCTTAATACTCACAGAGGCCAATTAAACAAGAATGCAACATTGTCTAATCAACTCTCTTACAAAAATGACTGCAATAAAGAAGGAAATTATCAATGGAGTTTGTGCTTCACTGCACTGATTTGTTATAAAGAGATTTTGTTCCCACTTCGGCCCTGGAATATTTTTACGTATGTTGTTGGCACCATCCTTTCATCTCAGTTTTCAGGATGCCAGTTTTTAATTGAATGACCTGATTAAAATGGTCTTCTTGTACCCTATTCATGACTGCACCTTTTAAATGGTAATTCCTCTTTTCTCTCTAAATCAACACTGGAGGCTGGTTGTCACAGTGAATTCCAATGTGAACATACCGGAAGCTTTCAGATGACACAAGACCTAGATCAGTGCATCTTTAAAGAAATCGTTAACTAAATAAATGTAAATTATGTTGGTATTTAATTACTCAACCTCACATCGTTACAAACTCTTGATATTTTCTTCTGTGGAAAACAAAAAAAAAGAAATTTTAAATGATGCAGGTTTTTTTTTCATGCAATTACAAATAATGCGAGACAGGAGGTGTGTTCCATTCTGCCGAAAAAAGTGGACTTTACAGGTTATTCTGCTATCTTGGAAGCGAGGGTTTACAGATCACAGTGCAAGTGGGAGAAGTCTCATGTTACGTTCGTCACGATTGCAGATAACAACATCCCGGATCAACACTGTTCATGTATGGCAGGGTACGATTAAATTTATTTACATTTAACCAGTTTAATAAGAAGAGACAGTGAATTGTAGACCTTCGTTTATGTGTTTTTGCCCTACATTGTACAAGACGCAGTCCGCTATTTAGGTTCGTAATAGCATGGACTCACTAACTTTAACATTAGCTAGTTTTAGCCAGAGATACCTTGCTAAAGCACAAGATGAAAACTTAATGAGAGTATGACAACCAGAAAACAAACGTTTTTGTCTTCATTGGGATTGGGGGTGAATGCTTTGGGACATTTTGCTCTGTTTTGTTTGGGTTTAGGAAATAGAATAAAATAAATTCCATTGCCTATCCTCTCAGGATACCTGGAATAACTGTTACAAGTAACACAGGTACATCGTTTTTCCATTTTTGAAGCATAAACCCCATTAAAAAACGATGCGAGCTTCGGATCTTCCAATGTTTCTCTATGGCGCTGAAACCTACAGATGTCTGAGTTCCGCTCCCCGTGCAACTGATACTCGACTGTCATTGGCTTATCTGCGTTCGAGGGGAGGGGCTTACCGATAGGTCAATTAGTCACAGATGTGGTTTGTGTGCTGTTGTTTATAAGTATAAAGTGCATTACACACACAGTTCATTATAACGGTTACATTTACTTTCATATTAAACATTGTAGCAGATAATTAGCACTCAGTTTAGCGCTTCAAATATGACCTAATGAAATTATAATTCACATATATTTTATAAATAAAAATGCATTACATATGTATATTAAATGAAAGTAAGATCATCTATATTTATTCATATAAGTATTACATTATCATATCTCAAACTCCTCTAATATGCACAACTCAAGTGGTGTCTACTGTATTTTTGATGACGCTGCAGGTTGTTCCAAATGAGCACATTTTGTCAAGTGCACTTTAACAGCTATCCTGTGTTCAGGGAGTAGGAAGCAGTGAACACTGTGTAGGGACCCTAATGGAAACAAAGCTTGGGGGGGCTTTCAAGCTTCAAAAGGATTGCAAAAAAAGTAAAAGTATCATACAATTCTATCCTAAAATGACTTTAGGTCTGTACTCCAAGTCTTTGAGTATGGAACAGACCAATATTATTATTTAGTTCAATGAACAATTAATCAATTCAGTCAATGAGATAACATTTAAGAACCACATCAGTGTGATTTGTGAATGAATCATTTAGGCTGATTTTGTGTTCCAACTTCCAAATAAATAAATTCACTGAAAGGGACAGACTCAAGCAAACAATTTGTTAATGAATCGGATATTGCGTGTATTTTGTGCAAAATAGAGCTTCATGTAAAAATTATATTATACCTTTTGATACTTTACGGTGCATTTACTTACTTATTGAAGCTCTAGTCCCCATTAATCGTAATTGCGTAAAAAAATAAGTGACCAATACCTTATTTTGAAATTCTTCTTTGATGTTCTACAGATTAAACAGAATAAAAAGTCTTACCATGTTCATTAAATTATAATTTTTTTAGTTCAGTTAGTTTTTAGGTGAACTACTCTGAATCCCCTAGTGTTCAGTAAGCTTTTCTTGTCCAATTATTTATTTTTTTAATAAACTGACGTTTTTTTGTTCTTTTCTGCCTTCTTTCTTATGGTTTGTTTATATGATAAATGTGAGATTAAATCAATTTCTATAAAAATAACAGGACAGAAAAAAAACACCCACTCTCTTCAGCAATAAAGACCTTTGATGTGATCTGCTTCCACTGTCAAAACTATTTCATACTTAAGGCTGATTTTTCACGGCAATTAAAAGAGCCTGATGTCAATCTGAAGAAACTGGACACCCACAAAGAGCTTTAATTATTGTACAAATGCAGTTTATTTAAAACTCACTGCAGTGGCAAAAGGGAAAAATATGCAAGAATGAAAACCGCAGCAAAAAAAAAAAAAAAAGTCTTTAAGTGTGTTGTAAGGAATTTCAGTGCAGGATCATTTTGATCCAGCCTCAGTGCTATCTATTGCAATATTCTAACACCATTTTGAAATTTAATTTGATTTGAAATGAGGTGAATATAAGTTATGTGAAAGAAACAGCTGGGTAGGATATCTTACCTAGACAGCCTTACTGATTAAAATTCTGCATGGCAGAAAAAAAAGGGTTTCAAAAAGCCCCCTCTGGGGTTAATTTCAACAACCCACTGAATCGTTTTTTGTTCGATCAAAAATGATGTCTGAGAGCTGTGTTTACCTCAGTTCAAGCATGAAGTCATATCCTGGCGTCACAGCTCCAAACCTCTGACTCCTTACATTACTGGCAAAGCTGTAGGTGAATTCCTTACAATGCTGTGTGAAAACACAAATCCAGAACATACAGGTAATGCCGAGTTCACACTGCACGATTTTCGTCGACAACTCTGTCTGGTCTGCAAACTAAGTTTCACAACAAAACACACGCGAGAATTGATAAGGAAATAACGCGAGAACCCGCGTGCGTTGCAGTTCTCTAGCGAGACGACAAGAAGGAATTATTAAAAATATATATATATACCGCAAATTGTCTGTGAGCTGATTTCCAGCTACAAGGAGAAAAAGAAAAACTGATTATGCAGGAGGGAGATCCAGGGAACAGGGATTGGGTGTTCAAAGAGAGTTGGAGGTAAATCATTTTGCAGTAACTGTTATGCTGATGTTGTGGCTGGTCAAGCAAATGTTTGTGCTTGTTTCTGTATGATATAATTGTTCATATATCTATTAAAATACTGATATTCTGGTCTATGACTCCTCCCCGAACTTCCCTCTGCCCTGTATCTTGGTCTCTCATTGGCTGTAGGTCATCGCCGATGTACAGGTGCATCTCAATAAATTAGAATGTCGTGGAAAAGTTCATTTATTTCAGTAATTCAACTCATATTGTGAAACTCGTGTATTAAATAAATTCAATGCACACAGACTGAAGTAGTTTAAGTCTTTGGTTCTTTTAATTGTGATGATTTTGGCTCACATTTAACAAAAACCCACCAATTCACTATCTCAACAAATTAGAATATGGTGACATGCCAATCAGC